CTATGCAGTAAGCATTCAATACTCATCCAGCACTTTTTTTTTTTCTTTTTAAAATTTAAACAAAGCTGCAGGTAAATTCTTCACAATAATAAAGGATACTGTTCTAATTATACATATATTTTCCCATCTAGGCTGAAAACAATCATCCTGAAATGGCCAAAGAACTTCTAAGGAAAGTCTCTGCAAACTGCACCCATAAATAATACAATGGCACCATTTCGTATTTGACGTACACACCCTAAAAAGGGGGGAGAGCAGGGAGAGAACGGGGCTTACAATGAAAAACAGTATGCATTTTCTTTGCCAGATTTTTACCACTCTTAAAATCTCCAGCATTTTGTACAGAAAGATCTTGCCTTTGATGTCAATCCAATACTTTTTTGCTTGCTCCTGCAAGCACTGCAGTATGCAATACATTTTCGAGCTGGCAAAGAAATGGATGTACTGTCTAGAGAGTGACTGTGAAATTCACCCTGATCAGAAGGTCACTGTGGCACGTGAATTCCTAAAGAAAAAGGTAAATGGTGTGTAGGTCTCATACTGGCATATTACAGTGAGCTAAAGTTCATCATATATGGCCAAACTCATTAGCACTTTTCCAACAGTTTCAAAAATCTACTTCAAAAGATGTTTGCCTGTTATTCATAGTCAGAAGCAAAAGCAAAAAGATAGTATTAGGCTTGCATACTTGGCACCTTTGTATTTTTAAATAGAAGGTGAAAGCACCTCCAAATTTGATCTAGAATACGTCACATGGAAGCCAAAAAAAAAAAAAACAAACCAACAGTTCCAATGCCTCTCAAGTTAATGTAAATTAAAATAAAATAATCCATTTGTCACAAAACTGTAATGAAGTTCTCACCAAAAGAGTTTCTGCACTCCCAAACCATGTTTCCTCCGAAAAGATAAGCAGCCTTCCCATTCTTGCAACGGGAAGCATTTCTTGTGCCACCAATCCACACCATTTATCACCACCTCAGCAGCAGACATGCTATGATCCATGGGTGGAAACGACAAGGGGCAATGCTTACGTCCCATGTTCCAACCAGGAACAACAGCCAGGTCATCATCCAACTCCACTAGCAACAATCTTCAAGGCACATGGAATGCAAAACACTCTCTACACGCTCAGGACATCTTCCAGGCTATTTACCCCAGGAGTGGCCTGAGGAGGAGGGACATGGTTTCCTCCACCCCAGTGGTGTTGCTGCCAGGGGGACACATGCCTCACCCAGACTCCTTGAACCACATCAGCCATGCAAGTCTGTGGCAGTTTTCATCTGTCAGAGGCAGTGGAAGGTTTGCTTTCTTTTTAAGAAGAAATACTTCTCTACTCGGGGATAAGTGCACTAGTGCTCACCCGTTTATGCGCACTAACGTAGCTGCCTACATTATGTGAGTCAAGAAGGAGCCAGATCCAGTAGGAAATAGATGCAGGACAGAAAAATGTGTTTTAACAAACTACTCCAGGATGTGCCTGTCAGGAAATTCTGGAGACTTTGCACTAAATCTGAGCAAGGCTACTGTTCCTCTATACAGAAATGCAATACCTTAACCACCTCAGAAGGTCTTTTTCAAGAGCTCATTAGAGAAATGTAATGATTATGGAGTGCCATGTGGGACAGGGACACACAGACACTACCCAAACTGGCACTAAACGGGGTTTTTTCCCTACTGGTGCTAAATGTTGCAGAAATAGAAACTACATTTTCAAGAATAAAAGGCACCAATCATTAAAAAATTTAAACTGATCCTAGAGTGCAACCTTCAGCCAATCAGTGACTAAGAATTTGCAAGCCAGGTGTGCTGCTGATCAGCTTGGGTGTAGGGAAGACAGTCAAACAACAGATTAGTAAAGGAGAGGTCTGGATATACAAAGGCAGGCACATCTCAGAATTCTCCTTTAGTTTCATTAGATTTTGAAACAAGGCACCAAACCTGCTTCAGATATTCATTATCATTTTCTCAGTACGGCATTGAAGGTGCAAGAATACAAAGGCTTTGCTTCTACTTGTTTTAAAGCAATTAAGCTTTACATGAATATGCTAAACGAAGAAAACCAAAATTCAAGTTCCCTGAAATGTAAGCAGAACACGCACTCTTATTCTTTTGATAGGGCTTTCCTCTGCCCTGGGAATAATTTTGTATGTCTGTCAAAACAACTTATCAGCCTTGTGCCTGATCTAAAGCCATACAATGCTGATAAAGATATTACTATTGACATCCATGGGCCATGGATGAAGCCTCAAGCTTCTCAGTTAGCTATGAAGGAAACTCAGGGACACAAGATATGCAAGTTCAGCTCTAATGCTACACCACTTAGGAGTGTCACATTTATACAATATCACCTTGCAATGCATGGAAGAGCAAAAAACACACATGGAATGCTACATAATCGCTAGCAGTTCAAGCCATTAGTCCCTCAAGCCCCTTACAATTGGATCTTTCTGGAGAGCAGTGGGCAGTGTTCTCCCTTCAAATTATCATTAAATACTAAGACTTCAAATGGAGACTTTACCTGAAGGGAAAGCAACCTTAAAGAAGAGAAGAAGGGGGAAAAAAAAAAAAAAAAAAAAAAAAGAGTGCAAGTCGTTTTTCCAGCTATTATCATTGTCTTTTGACACCTCCGGTGTTTTTATTTTTTTATGCAACCATACTGTTTACTTTTTTGAAAGTTTGTTTCATTTTTATACTACTGAACTGTTAAAAAAGAGAATATAACATTTTGTGAAGGAAGAATCAGTGAAATACGCTACATATAAAGAAATAATCCACAAAGTAAATATGCTGAAGGGATGAAATATTGTTTGCAATATCCTTATTTCAGTAAAACAGTTGTATGCTTCTTTTCCCTAGCATTACTTGTAGCAGTTGCACTTCAGACAACCCATTTAGATGGATTTAAACTGAATTTAAGTATCCTTCAAGTTACATGCACTTTATGAAAGGGAGGTAATCCCATGAATGTAGCAGATTCCAATTTTGCGGGGGAAATGATACTGAAAAGGACAACAGCCTCATGGTACAACCTGTTCTCGCTCTCAAATTCTAGGTGTCCTTGGACCATCACCAAGACTATGAGTAACAGCTGTGAGAGCTCCCCATCCAGTCCTGTTGGTGACAGAGCTGCACTTGGTCTTCCCCTGCACCCACGCAATAAAGAAGCCACATACACTACAAATGACATGGTAACAGTGCTCAGCGAGTGCTGCCAGGTCACCACCTAGAGGTGCTCAAAGCCAGCTCTTCAGACATCTGGAGGAGGGAGCTCACCTCGAAGAGCTAATGCACAAAACTCCTGGATACTCCAAGGTAAGATGGTGGTGGTCTCCCAAGCACAAAAGCCACTCCAGAAGAAATACCTGCCTTTTGGTTTAAACCTCTGAATATCGGACAAAGCAAGCTCAGTATGGAGAGGCTACTGAGAAACAATTAGCTATTCATTACGGTGTTATTAATGGCTCGTCACAGCAATGTAAAAGCCAACCCTACGTAAGTCCTACCTAAGTTTCAGCTCCAGAACAAAACACTTTCTTCAACACCCCCTCCTGGATTCTCCACAGGGTTTCACTGTGTAACAGTTCAAGACCAGTTTAAAGACAGATTTTTATGTTCTCCTATTTTTTAGCAGAGAAGGAATTATATTTTAGTTACAATCTTCCAGAGTTACTGATGGAAACCACACAGCCCTAAGTATCTTTGCACACAATGGTAAGACTGTCTGTTACCCACATGTTAATTTCACTTAATTAAAGCTGCATACACAGTATAGCATTACTTCAATTTTGCATTTCCCATGTGTTTTGTCTCAAAAGCTGTTTAACCTTTCCACCCTCAATATTTGTTTTGAAGACGGGAAGAAAAGAAAGCAGACACCAGCCTGTATTTTCCTCTCTCCAACCCTTACTGGTAACTTCCCAGAAGAGGGTTTATAGCAGCCCAGGGTCTAACTACTGTAACCTGTAATACAGTGTGATAAGGACAACACCACACTGAGCATGAAACAGTGGTTCCCAGAATTCCTAAATAACATTTCCCTAGTTATTGGCAGCTGAAAAGCCAGAACAACCACAGCTCGTGTATAACTGCATGGGATGAGACAGTGTCAATCTTCTCTGGGGAAAGCATTTAATTTTGTGTAGTTATATTTAATAAAAATAACCAAAACACAGGCCTATCAAGTCGCTTTGTTAGCCTGAGCACATATCAGTTAAGGAGAAACATACGGCACGCCTACAGTCAGTATTAGCAAACTGCAGGACGGAACTTCACTTAACGCCTGTGCACATAGAGTATCCATGTGCACATAGAGTATCCACTGCTTAAATTGCCAGAACATATTATTTTAGTACTACAGCATACCCCATCCTCGCACACGAGTAACAGGCTGCATGGCAAGCAGTTGGGACTGCCAAATTGAAACATGACTCTCAGACCTGAGAGTGACTCATTTTAGACTAAATGCTACAACACACCAAACCTGACTTAGCATGCAAGAGACTTTCTTTGAAAAGATACCAGTTGCAGCAGTTTTTAGTAGTAAAAGGCTGCAGCTACCTCAATTCCCCAACTTCGGGAACACAAGTTGCCTACAGAGGCTCCTGCAAGGGGATATTTGAGCAACTTCTAATTTATTCAGACAACTGAAATTGGAAAGGTGTGGGTTTGTTTTACAGAGAAATCCACAAGAAAAAAAAAAAAAGTTGACATTCCAACATTTTTCTGATAAAGGGCTATACATAAAACTTTTCACCCATTTCCATAGGAAGCAGCTTTTTTTGGGAGGGTTCCCATTGTGAAGCTATTTAAAAAGAACATGCAGAAAAGGGTGAGAGGAAGAAACTTGGTCCCTCAGGTTCCACCTCTCTCTTCTCACTTCAGTTTGCTAACGGCTTTTGTCCTAAAGCTTCCCTCCTGCTCCCCACCCTCCCGGTCCTTCTCTAATACTCCATACCCTTGTTCTTGTCATTCATCCTTTCCCTGTCCTTCTTTTCCTTTACCTTTGTAAGCACCACGGATATACGGACACAGATCCCATCTGACTTTTTGCAGGCTCTTCGTCCAAAGGACTGAGGAAGTCATGAGAGAGAGAGGTGGCAACCATTTTTTTAGTTAGGACTTTTTCCACTGCCTTAATTTGGTATAAATAAATCCAAAGAGACTTCACGGAAAAAAAAAAAAAAAGGAAAAAAAAAAAGAAAAAAAAATCAGGACAGGCCCTAAGTAAGCGAACAGTGGCAGCGCTGTTAGTGTCCCTTAATCCATTACTTATTCCAGGCCAACCTCAGAGACGTTAGTCCAGCAGAAGTAGCAGCCTGACCCGACGCCAACAGCCCATTAAAGCCCGGCCCTAACGAGCCCCCGTCGGACCCCGCCGCTTGCAAACGCGCGCCTCCCCCTTACAGCGCTGCGCGCCCGCCAAAGTCAGCACCGGTCTCAGAAATACTCCAGAAAACTCCCCGAAAGTGGAGGAAGAAGAGGCGGCGCGGACCCCGGGGAAAGGGAGGCGGACACCTCCTCCCGGGCGGGGACGGCGGGACCCCCGGCCGCGGGGCGCTTACCTGCGGGGGCTGCGCGGGCGCGGCTGGAGGGAGCGCGGCGCCGCCGCCGGCGCGCACAG